ATGGTACCAAACACGCCATAGTCGCTGGGCTGGGCTTGTCCAGGGGGCACCGAGAAGCTAAAGCGCTGCAGGAGGCAGGTGAAGAAGAGGAAGAGCTCCATGCGGGCCAGGGGCTCCCCGAGGCACACACGGCGGCCTGTGAGGGGGACTCGGGCTCAGTCAGCCTGTCCCTGGCCTCCACCCCTCCAAGGGGCCCTGGGGAGGGACAGGGAGGCCCCACAGGTACCTGCTGAGAAAGGCATGAAGGCCTCCCGCTTCACAAAGTGGCCCTGGGCATCCAGGAAGTGTCCAGGGTGAAAGTGGAGGGGCTTCTCCCAGACGGTCTCATCCTTCAGCACAGACGACAGGTTGGTGATGAGCATCGTCCCCTGGAGGAGATGCCTGCCATGAGCAGGGACTGGGAGGGGGATGTCAGGACCTGACCACTGAACCAGGCTGGACAGACTCTAGTTGGTCCACACTGAACCCTTGGAAGTAACTCTCAGAGCCACAGACTCTCAGCATCCCTGTGGACATGATGGCAGAGCCAGGTGACAAGGGCCCTGTTGACACCCATACTAACCTCTGTCCCTGAGCACTGCAGTTGCTACAACTATCTGAGGCACGTTTTACTCTACTTCCCCCCAACAACCTGGGCTCTGTGGTTCTGCGCTGCCCTGGCGGGTTCTCTGCTTCCCAGACCCACTCAGGCTGGGCCAGGTGGTGCCAGGGGAACTGGGAATCAGGGGAACTAGATGCCAGTCCTCCTTCCCCTGGCAGTGTCCATGCTGGGCCACTAGCTTATTGGTCACTCGGAGCTTGGGAGAAGGGCCCAGGCCTACCTTGGGGATGAAGAAGCCCTGCAACTCAATGTCACGGGTTGTTGAGTGGGGTAGACCTAGAGGGACAAGGTCTCCAAAACGCTGCACCTCGTGAATCACAGCCATGGTGAAGGGCATGCGGTCCTGGTCCCCCATCTCTGGCTGCCGCACCTGCCCTATCACTTCATCAATCTCCTGTTGGACACGGCCTGGACAGAGAAGCAATCCCCCAGTATGTTAGCAGCCAGGGGCCTGTACTTTGACCCTCTCCCATCTCAGGGCTGTGTCCAGCTTAGCAGATAACAGCCTCATTGGAGACTGGGTGAGTTTATGCTCAGAGACACAAGAATCCACTTAAAATGAGGAGAGCTTTTGTCTATAAGTTGTCCCTCCCCATCCCAGCTCACGCTGCACATCCGGGTGCAGGATCATGAGCAGGAGGGCCCAGGCCAGCGTGGTCGAAGTGGTCACCATCCCCGCGGTGAACAGATCAAGCACCATGATGCGCAGGTTCTCATCATTGAAGCTGCTCTCAGGGTTCCCCTTGGCCTGTGCAGAGGCAGACACAGTGGGCTCAGGAGCCGAGGAAGAAAGTCACCAAATGACCTCCCAGTCTACACCCATCAGACCAGGTGCTGGGTGACGAGGCACCACATTGCCCATTCTCGGGCCTCACAGGACCCTCAGCCCACGTCCCCTAGCCCGGCTCAGGCAGCCCCACCTCACCTTCTCCACCTCCGCCAGGAAGGCGTCAGTCAGGTCTCGCGGTGGCTGGGCTGGGTCCCAGGTCATCCTGTGCTCCTCCAACAGCTCATCCACCATGGCCATGAAGGCCTTCTGTGCAGGGAAGACCCTGCCAGGCAGCCCGGGGATGCGCAGGAGCACTGGGACCACATTCAGCACCTGTGACAGCCACAGAGGGGACCTGGGTCCTTCCTGTGCTCCTCACTCTCCTGGACAACACTCAGGTCACAGCCTCCTCTAGGGTGGACTCGGGCCTGCCTGTCCCACCCAGTGACCAGCTCCCTCCCCAGAGCCAGACTCCAAGCTCTCTGCTGGCCTGGGCTGCCGGAAGGAGCAGCCACCATGGGAATCTCGAGCTTGTGTGTTAGCTGGACAGTGGGCACGGGCTCATTTTCCTCTCCTGGAGCCCTCTGACCCTGGCCCACCTGTCCTGCTACTGTTTGAGATGTGCTCACCTCCGGGCCTTCCCTCTTACAGTGTCCTCTCCCATCGCCCCTGCATGCTAACCCTGCTTGGAATCTTGGTTGCACAGAACTGGCCCTGGATAGTATCCTAAACTCCTCACCATGGGCATAAAGCCGGAATCCTCCTTCACTGTGTCCTCCAGAAGGTCAAGAATCTTGGCCAAGCGCTGTTCATCATACTCAAAGCGTCGGGCATAGATGAGGGAGGAGATCACGTTGCACACTGCTCTCTTCAGCAGGGACATGGGGTTAAAGGGGCTTCCTGGGTGGGACCAGGCCAGTCATGGTGTGGCCCTGCCCCCCAGGCCTACCCATCTCATCCCTGCTGTGTCCCTCAGCCCATCACTTACCAGCCTTGTTGGCAAAGGCTGTACAGAGGCAGCTGGCCTCCTTGGTCACCCACTGCTCCAGGGACTTCTTGCCCAGGCCAAAGTTGCGCATGGTGGACACAGAGAAGCGCCGCTGCTCACGCCAGGCATGTCCATAGGTTGCCATGATCACACCTGGGAATGTCGGAGACAGCTTCTAAGTCTGACACTGTCCTACCCTTCTCCTCCCCTGATGTCACAGGATTCCTCCTCTACTCAGTCAGGACACAAGCATCTCTGGCTTTTCTCTGTAGGCTGGTATGTCCACCCCTGTAGGTCCTGAAGTCACTGATCCCTATTTCCAGGTATCAGCCGCCCACACCCATCCATCCCCCAGTTTTCCATTTCTTTGGCTGCTGAAATTTGCCTTGAGACCGTGGTCCGAAGCCCAGGTGCTCATAGATGGGCATCCACGGGCGGTCGGAGGTGTACTCATTGTGGTTCACCAGCGCCTCCCGCACAGCGGCCAGCCCATTGAGCACAATGACAGGCTTCCAGGCCAGCTGCAGGCTGAACACGTCACCAAAACGGAACCGCATCTGTAGGCAAAAGGGCCACGTATTTGTCCAGCTGAACTCCCTGCTGGGCTGCAGACCTTCGCCTCAACACAAAAGACCCAGGGACTCTGCAGTGTGCCAACTCCGGGAAGAGACCTGGTATTGACATGTGGGAACATGAGGCTGGGAGTCACACCCTGTAAAGTGGACTAACTCAGTTTGTATTCAACTTTCTGGACCCACAGCTATGACCTTGCCAATCAGGATATCGTCAATGGGGACAATAGTGCTCCACTGTACAGAGCAGAAGACACGGTCACACAGGTGAGCAGTGAGGCGCAAGACCCACAGCAGAAAATTTTAAGTGGGTCTGTCAATCTGTGTCCACCTTCAGTTCCTGACTGACAAGCTCTTATGGCTCCTCCCCCATCCCCAAGACCTTTCCCTCTGATGGAATCACAAGGGACTGGGGCCTATTCAATTTATACCTGCCCACCTGGATCCCAAACCCACTGCCAAGTCCAGTCCCACCTCCTGGCCTTTGTCCTCTCACACCTTTGCCCTTGGAAAGTTGAAAGGGTCCTCGGGCTCTGTCTGCCGTGCCATCAACCAGGACACCTCTCAGCCTGCTTCCTTTCACTGCACAACTACTGGTCCACCTTGGCTTCACCCTCCACCCATCTCTCTTCGTCCTGGGTTCCCTCCACTGTGATCCACCAGACTCTCCCTGACCCTGGGTGTCGGAGGGTACTGGGGATTAATCCCAGGGGCACTTAACCACTGAGTTACATTCTCAGCCCTTTCTATTGTTTATTTTGATGTAAGCTCTCACTACATTGCTCAGTCTACCTGGAACTTGTAATCC